TGGGAAACTAGCTTTTATATTTACATAAAAATATCTTGTACCTGGTGAGGCTTGCCACAAAACTTATTAACTTCTGAGAAGTACACTTAAAATTGGAGAAACTAGCTTGGAGTGGAGGGGGTTTTTGCTGATAGAATTTAAAAAAAAAAAAACCTTTAAAAGTAATGGAAACTATTTGCTGCAGAGGATCATCTTTATGTGTTGGCTGATTAACTGGTGGAGCAGATATTACACGTGCCGTTTTGCCTACACTGAGGGCAGCTAACTATAGGATCCAGCTCTCCTGCTTTTTACTGTAGTTGGGAGTTTCTTTTCTTACATATCGATAGTCAAAGTGTAGCTGGAATTGGTTGCAATGCTGAGGATCCAGTGCTCTGGAGAGCATCGTTCTGCAGTCAGAGCTATGATGGCAAATAAGTAGGTGGTATTAATTCACAATAGCTGTTTATAAATCAGCAATAAATTACTGGTTTCAAACAGATCTCCCAGAAAATAGAGTACCTATTCAAAGTACAGTTCTATAGGATAAAATATACTTACAGTAGTGTGAACTAACTTGTACTAATTGACTTTTTGTGGGTGAAAGATTAAGTCTCCTATTCTGAGAATGTAGGAACAATTTTGAGTTCTTCATCAAATACCGTAACTCCATTGCTACTTTTATTCCCAAACTTTCCCTAAGCAATATACACATGTAATGAGTTCTGAGCTTTCCGTCACTCTCATGTCTTATGCTGTCTCTTCCCTAAAGCCTTAGAGAGGAAAGAACTGCAATACCTCAGTCTGGAGAGGGAGACGTTTCTAGTGTGCGAAGAGAGAATTTTTCTCCTTGGAAAAATACCTTGGAGATGGTCTGGTAGCCTTGACAGCCTTAGTGACCACGCGTCAGCCTGCACAAGTCATCTCAGTGACCACCGCTGTCTGAAGCACCAAAGAGCGGCAATGATGTAAGGCAGAATCCATTTGTCGGGTGTGGTTTGGGTTTTTGTTTCCTCTCGAGTTGCAGTGACTTACTGCTTAGTGACTGTCTTGCTAGAGTATTAAGTGGAGTGATCTCCCCTATTTCCATAAGCAAGTGGGTATGTTTGTCATGTGACAACCTGCTGAAATCACAGCAGAGACATGATGCTTATTTTGATAAAAATGTCTAAGAAAATGATCAAGTAGGCGAATAAGGCTTTAACTTGTGCTTTTGGATGGCACCGCAGACTCGGCGTTGGTGGATTGTGTTAACAACAAGTTGAGCTCATCTGTATATGGATTTTTCTTAAAATGAAAGAGGAAAAGGTATGAAGGTCATTTACTTCTGATACAGTATATTACGACTGTATTCCTTTTATGTCCAGATATCTGCCCTCTCATGCTTTTTCCTTCTTTACCAGGCTGCTGTGAGTGCTGTGCCTGGTACACATGGATGATGTCTCCTGCCAGGTTTTCACAGTCAAGCATCCCCAGCATCCCACACCCTGTTCAGTCTCGCACTTTCTTCCACAGCTTCAGACTATCTGGAATCCTGCAGCAGAGACTCCAGCTTCCTTTTCTGCTGTGCTGTGGAAAACACAATAATCTGGTAAGATGTAAAAGGGAAAAAAAACCCAACAACTTATCAGTAGAAAGCTTTGCTGGTCATTGTCCTTGGAAGATTTTAACTTTAACGCTGCTGTGACTTACCAGCTAAGTTGTTTTACACTCTCACTGGCACTGTGCAGTAACTGGAAGGCAACTTCTGTGGATTTCCCCGTCACAAAATACTCGCTGTACGTAGTCACGTTGCTGCACAGGCTCTGGAGGAGGGGATTTCCAATAAGAGGGGGGGAATTTCACCTGAACCTGATCCAGACTTCCAGGTTGTCTGCACGCTGGAGGTAACCGTGCTCCAGGGAGGATGGTTAATCCAACCAGGTGCCTGGGGCACTAGGGCAGCAGTAATTTCACGGTCCTACTGCAAGGAATTGGAGGTTTGATTACAGAAGAAAATTAAACGGTGTGGAAGATGAAGAATATTGCTAAGCTGTTTAAGGCAACGCACACCAATTACAAGCAAATGGTAATTGGTTTGCACTGAGGGGTTTTTTTTCTCTCTTGGTCAACAGGTGCTTCTCCAGAGCTATTAAGGGATTTAGAAGGGAAAGTCCATGAGGTGAGAGGAAAAAAAGGTTAGTATTCTCTCCCTGGGAAGGAGAGTGACTCTTAGTAAACTAGTCTTGAATCAAGAGTTCTCGTAGCACAAAGAAAAGCTTAGACTGTTGCCTACAAAGATCATTAACAAAACTATCTTTGATTTCTGATGGATTAGAGCACAGCGCTTAGAGGAATTAGCTGCATCCTAATGAGGCAAACTTTTTCAAAGGGCGAAAAGGAGAGGGAGCCTTGCCGGCCACGATCCTTTCCTAATTCCAGATTAAATGGCTTTTTCCACACAAGGCTTGTGGAAGTTCAGCCTGCTTTCCCTGCTTGGGCTCTTGGCACCCTCACTGCTGCAAGTATTTTGTAGAAATTACCTGAGCAGGTCTTGCTGCTAGGGATGGAGCTGGACACCCACTTCCCTGGGGAATAGTGAGGGGAAATATGAGATGCAATCGTTTCTGATTGGCATACTTCAGACAAGCAGCAGTAAACCTAATAAATCTGTTTTAGCAATAAGTGCAGTCAGATTAGCAATCAGTCTAGGTAGAAGCCTAGGTGAGTTTACCCAGAAAGGGTTCTGTTAAGGGTTTCGGTTAAAAGCTTTTCTTTATTCTCTCTTGGCTTTTAGTTCTATTTTTCTGGGTTAATTTCCCCTTTTATTATTCCAGCTTTTTTCCCCTACAACTCTTTTGTTAAAATCAGAAGGTACTGTTACTGGGCTGACATGGCAGCAGGTTTCCACAATTAAAAGTAATTTCCAGTTTCTTGTGACAAATATCTGCAAAACTTGACGCTGCTGTAAAAAATTATGTTTGCACATAATTAGTTCTAAAATATTTAACTCTGTGTAAGGCCCAAGTCTTACAGTTTGACTCCTAAATCCATTTCTCAGCATCTCGGGTAGGGGTTTCAAAAGCACATAAGAGATTAGAGTTTCAGTCTCTAAAAACAATCCCATTAGGCCTGTGCAGCCTTATTCCTGTACGTGTGCTTCCACCTGCTCGGCTAGTAACTACGGGACATTAAGAAGTCTTACCTGTGGTCATCCAAGGCTGAGCATTTGGCCAAATAACACCTGGAATTACGTAGACCTTCCCAACTTTTTAAAGGATTCTTGTTTTGCAAAACGTGTTCCTACTCCTGTGTTTTTGGTAAGTGACACCACAGAAATTCTCATAGCCTAACTAAGGTCAGTTTTTATGCAGTGTCGTGCTTACAACCGAAGTGCGGTGCATTACCTGCTCTGAAAGGACGTGGACATGGTGTGCACATTGGTTTCACGTGAAGAGAACAATCATCGCTCTTTGCTCAGCATTAATCCCTTTGAAGTAATTCATTCTTGCATTAGGCTGGTATTTTGTCCTGTTTAATCACGCAGTTCAGCGTGCTCTGATATTTCTAAATAAGAAAATTCAAGGAGGGAGATCCCAGTTTGTCAATGAAGAAACAACTCATACTCAATAGGGCCAGGATTCACCCACAGAATTCAAATTAACCACGACTTGGAGAACAAAAATAGAAGGAAGAGTGGAAATAAAAGCAATAGCTGAGCTGAGAGAGAACATAGCTCGAAGCCACAGGAAACCATGGACATCATGTTTTTGGTTTTTGGACCTTCTCCCTCCTGTATGCAACTAGTTTAAGAACAAAACCAAGGCCAAACACACCTGACGTAGGTGCCCAGGCTGCAAGGCACTGTTGCAGCCTGCTCCGATGGCTGCCGGCATTTCCCTGCCACAGACCCTGACGACAAATCCGGACCGATTGCCAGCTGGAAGCGTTTAGCGGGCAAGGCTCCTAGGTTGGGCTCCTGTTGTGAGTCATAGGCTTACTAAAAAAATTGCTCTGTTTCAGAAAGAAAGGCGTTGAAAAATAAACGAGCAAGTAGCACTGACAAGCTTTCAGATGTCAACCTAGGACTCTTGTCGCTGTCTTGATGCTTCTACAAAGCACCACTCTGCCTTCCACATGGTTGCTGCGAGTGTAGGGGTAGATTATTAAGATGCTATAGAGATGAATGTGTGTGTATATATGTAATGATTATATGTAGAAATGTACAGCATAAGACAAGTGCCCATGCATAAGTCAGAAGTACTGGGTCTGCTGTATTTTCATAGCGCTTTTGCACCTTGCCTGGCTGGACTTTCATCTTTTCCAACTGCATTTCCAGGGCCTGACGTGGAGGTCCTCGGTTGTGTCTGCCTGTGACAGCCTGTGCTGCCTCGGAGAACGTGTGCTGAGCGTTTCCTCATCATCAAGCCCATGTAAGCATTTCAAAATGATCCCTTTAAGTGCTCGGACATCCAACACTTCCTCACTTTAAATGACAACTACTGTATTTGTGATAGTGGTAGTTGGCAGTAAACAGTTAAATAATACTGATTATTTTTCCCCCTATGGGAACACAGGAGATCCTTTGCCTTGGATCCTGTGCTTCTGGGTGCAGACAACCAAAGAAAAAAGGGCTTCCTTACATGGGAAAGCAATACCCAAGTGCAAGCAGGGGAAGACGCAGTGTGCAGAACCCTGCCTTGAGTGTTGATGATCATCAGGTTTTGGTTTGAGGCAGGTGTTTTGTTGGTGTTAAGTCATCACGGAGGGACCTCCAAGCCTCGAGTGTGATGTGACTTGCAGCAAAACCTCCTCTCACTTCTCTGCATCATGGAAGCTGCAGGGGTGAGCCTCTGGAGCGGCCCTGGCCACGCAGCCAGCTTTGCCCTGCCTGGCCCTGGGCTGGTGCTGCGGGTGCCCCAGGGAGGAGAAAGGGCTCGGGATGGTGCCGGACAGGGCCTGGGACACTCTGACAGCTGCTGGAAGTTAATGGGGAGAGACTTGCTGTAGCTGTAGGGAGGAACGGATCAAAACCAAAGTCGATGTTGCTACAGCGCCTTGCATCAAAGCGGCCGCTGAAGTCGGGGTTTGTGCTGCTACTGGCAGCGCAGGTGCAGCCCCGGGGGCGCTTTGGGAAGCCGCGGGTGCCTGCACCTCTTCCGCGGGCCGCTCTCGCCTGCAGGCCGCGCCGGGGCTGCGTGCGGGGGGCGCGGGC